TGAAATTCGGTTAGGTTCCCCATAAGATACATTTTGCGTATGTTTGATATTTCGTTGTTTAGAGAAATTTTTCGAAAGAAATTTCCCTTATGTGGCGGTTTTGTCCGTCTGTCTGTTCCTCCGTCTGCCCGTCTATCCGTTTGTCTCTTCATCGTCTAACTCGAGAATGGAAAGAGACAGGGATGTCAAAACTTCCCCAATCGATTTCTACGAGTTCAAGGAGAAGTGCTATTGAATATTAGCCGGATTACAAATCGTGTTTCCGAATGCGAGTTTTTAAAAATCCCCTTACTGGAAATCTCATGCGATTCTTCGTATCTTGTTATGCATCTTTTCTAAAATTGCAATAAGCCTGTCAAAGAACTTGCACTTTGCGAAATAAAAGAAATGTTTGACATTTTCTGGCGTTCTCGACAGTTCTTAGAAACCTCTTTGCATCTACGTTGGAATCTTGGAATCCAAAAAGCCCATTTCCAAAAAGGAACAGTTATTAGAAAAGTTAAAGAAAAGTTATTGAACTCCTGAATATTGTGGTGATCTTCTGTTTTTACAACCGTATACAGATCAGTAAACATTTTAAAATAGTTTACCACTTGAAAAATCTAAACCGATGTACAGAGACGACATAAAACCAAATTCTCTTACTAGAAAATGTACCTATAAATAGCAAGCTTAAGATTAGATTTCGTTATTGTTGTTGGCTATTTTGTTGTATCTACCTCTGATGAATGTGTGAACAACTGAACTTGACGTGTTTCCAAAATAACATGGAAACGACCATTATCTTCAGAATCGTGCCATGCTTTATATTGGTTTTTAATGTTTTATATCGAGCCGCCGTTCCGAGATCTATTTTTAAAATGGTTGTATACTCGCGTTGGTTTCCTTGAAACTTAAACTGGGGTTGTTGCCATCACTTACCTGTAGATTTTTTTGGATTTATTACTTGCTATTTTAAAAACATACACTTCGAAATGAATGAATGTGTAGGTCACGGGCGTCACCATTTCTTCTCAGAAGGCCACTGCCCGCTTCTTTGCTCTATAAATACTCTGTTTCGAGCGAATCTCCAAGTATAGCGCGTTGGGATGATGCCAGGTCAGTGAGTTTCCAATCCCCGGACCCCCACATCGACGAGGAAATTCTCAAAACACACTAGCTCTTCCTTATTATGACCTTGAGAATGATTAATTTCTTTTACTTCCTCTTTCCTTTCTACGTTATTTCATTCTCTTACTAAATCTCGCATTGAATGTGAATCCATTCTTGACATTCTAAATCTAGGAGCGAGCTAAAATAAAACTGCAATGATTGACGTATAGACATGATGTGATTATCGATGTTGTGAGTGAAAGCGAAAGCCATTATTATCCTGCTATAAGCGCGCCACGGAAACTTTGAGCTTGAGCAGACACTACCAAAACAAACAAATCTTGATTAAAATATTGCAATTTGTATATACATTCATAGTTTCTAATAACATTTATCTAACCTAGAAGTAATTTCAAATAATAAATATCTGTAGGTCTTCGGTTATATCGTTAAACAAACTTTCAAGTCCGTCTGCTCGTAGACCCCGTGCTATAAATTTGCCCAATTAGCCACTGGGCTATAGCCCAGGAAGCTAGTTTCAGGGGGGCGGCAACATGTGATGAATTATATTTTTTTCATTGCAATTTGGATCTGCGCTTGTGGATAAAACATTTTTAATTTTTTTTTAGTCAAGAATGTGTCATAATATTTTTTAAACTATAATATAGATCAATAAGCAGTAAAATAGTTATTTATATAACAAGAGCGCGAAGTTCAATTTTGCGCATTGAGACTGAAGGTATTTTGACGAGGCGAAGCCGAGTTAAAATATCAGTCAAATGCGCGAAATAACTTCGCGCTAGCGTTATATACAATATTTTTTCTACAACTGAACCGATTGTTAATTAAATTTGCTGTTTAAGTTCAACTTTGTCACGTGCGCGAAATACTTTTTTTCACTGTTGACGATTTCGCGCACGTTGTCAAGGGCAACCTTACTTATTAATTAACCGTTTAAAAATCTAGTACTTCGCGCTTCGAAATTCATCAGAAAATGACAGGTTTTTTTGACAGTTGTAGAAATAGTTATTTGTTTCATTAGTACAAAAAATGTCAGTTTTCGGGACGAGGAAGATAGTTGCTGGACGACGCGTTAGCGGAGTCCAGCAACCTTCCGAGTCCCGAAAACGCATTTTTTTGTACGAATAAAACATAAAATTTTTTCTCCAACCCCCTTTACTTCAAATTATATTCGAATTTAGATTCAGTCACAGTTTCACTACTAGTATAAGAACTTCTGCTTTCTTGTCCTCAAGTGTCATGCCACTCTAGTTTTTAGGTTAACTTATAACCTATTCGTTCTTACTTCTCACCTCTCGCGACTTTGTAGGGAGCAAATCTTGAGGTAGCATGTTCTGCCGTTTCTGTAATCTCTGGCGGAGTGCAATCCATGTCGCTATCAGTTTCAGTCATTTTATTGTATACACAATTAATATTGTTATATTTTGTATTGAAATAAAAAACTTACCGTACAATTTTTTAATTAAAATTAATTGCAATTAACTTTTTCAAATTTTGAATTCAAAATGACAGATAATAGTGCAAGGGGTCTGAAATAGATGGCGTTACGCGCGACGGCGGGTTGTATAGGTACGTATTAAAATTACGTTCATCGAATATGTAAATTACGTTACACATGGTTTAAATAAAAATAGCGAGCGTAAATCATTTTCAATACATGTACATACGTATAGGTAACAGCATTATTTGCATTGAATATGCAAAAATATTTGATTTGTATGTATAGAAATATCTTACAACCTGCAATGTAAAACGATGTCAATGTGACATATCTCCGTGATTGTAATTTTTTAATTGGCCAACTTTCAAGGTCAATTTCTTTTTGGTACTAGGACCAAAAGTATCTACTTTTTGTACAGTTGCCATGGTGAAAGCGATTAATCCGCAAAACGTCAATTTTACGTACCGAACACTGTCACAAAATAGCGTCTTATTCAGGTGGTTGGAGAAAAAAATATTTTATTAGGTTAATCGAGTACAAAAAGTTGCATTATAACATAATGTTTTTTCAGTCGTCGAGATTTTCGTCTGTGTTACTTTCTTTCCACGACGTGATGTGATAGTAGAACTCCAACGTTTCACCTGTAATATACTGCATGACTTTTTTTAATATCAACAATTTTCTTGTGGTTTATAGGAAGCGGTTCTGTGTACGCATATTCACTTGGCATAACAGGACTGGCTCTGTTCTCTTTTAGGAGTTTAAGCGTATAGGAATGAATGCCATCTATATAGTCGTAGGTTGTTACATATCCCGGAGTGGAACTATCAAACACAAACTGTCTATATTTTGAAATAGTAAAGGGTTCACGAGGAACACCGGATTTCTTAATGGTGGAAGCATTTTTTTTATAACTAGCCGGCCACCAGTTTTTGAAGTCAAGAATATCTTTGTAGGTAACTTCTTTAGTACTAAATGGATTACTCTTCCTGCAGGACACCATCATTGCCTGATACTCCTCTGGAAGATAAATTCGATCACTTCTTATCAGTCTTTTCAAAACTCCAAAATCCCTGTTACACGGCAAGAACGAATGCCCACGTATTGGAAAATAATGAAATATCTTTTTAAAACGCTTAGTTGCTTGTAACGCTAGGAGAAATCGCACCACTGTATTATTCCTGTTTTGATATACCGTTTTTGACAGTAGGTAAATAGCTTTTTTTGCAACTAAATTAACGTAAATTATCGTTAATTTACAGGAATTATGAATAAAATCCTCATAAAGTTTATTCCAGGTTTTACATCTCAAATCATTTGCTTTGGCCAATGGCCGGTAAAACTAACGTTCTTATTGGAGTTTTCAACAGGCCCAACGCAAATGCATCAACTATAAAACAGGCAGGGAGAAGAGTCAGTGAACAAAAAGAAATTGTTCGCGAATCAGGAAGCAAGATAATTCGATTTTATTTCGAATTGCTTTTATTGCGGTAAAAATGCAGAAAAAATAAATAATAAAGATGTTTTAAGTAAAACAGTTGAGCATAAGATAACAAAAGAGAATATTTAAGCAAACATTAAAGAAGCAAGAAGACAGATTTCGAAAAATCTTTATTAACGTCCAACATGTGATTTATCATGTCAAAAACCGTGTATATCTTAATACTGTTTTTCCAGTTTTTGGGGATTTTCTCGAATTTTTGCTATAGGAATAATATTTTTTTAATTACTGTTTATTAATATATGTCTTCCCGAAAATTTTGCTACCCCGCGCACCTCTGTACGATGAAAAAAGAATAGATTTTTCATCCCCTTGAAAAAGAGGTGGTTTTTTAAAAAATCGTGAGATCTTTGATACGGTTCGACTTAACGGGCCCAAAAAATTATCTTCTTTTTTTATCATAAAACAAGCTATGTTTCCTCCAAATTTCAAACCCCTACAACATTTTTTCACAAAAATAAGAATAAAAACGAAAAAACCAGTTTTTCCGGTTTTTTCTAGGAAAATTGGAGGTTATGTGAAAATAGTGCAGATACAAAAGTTGCTGTCAATTGTGTCTACTACTCATTTGAACTACTCAATAGATTGATGTGTTTTTTTTTAAATCGAACATAGGGAAATTACATTGCATACAAACTCCTATGTTCGTATTTAAAAAAAAACTCACTGTATGTATAATCTATGTCCTAATGAAGCAAGGAATGACGATACGTTAGTTGCCTAAAGCTGGATTCACATGAATACGAAATCCGACGATATGGTCATCCGAAATGCTTATGATTGGTCAATAGTTTGAAATGTCAAGCACATTTCAAATTATTGACCAATCATAAGCATTTCGGATGATCGTATCGTCGGATTTTGTATTCATGTGAATCCAGCTTAAGCAGCAGATAACACGGCTCAAGGTTGATGACGGCATAGATAGGCATAGAGTAAAATCATGAGTAAAATTGTATTTCCTCTATGATGACGGTCAATGGATGACTATTAACCACGTTACGCTACTAACTCAAGTGCTAGATCCTCGTATTATTGAAGGTTGGAAATTACGAGAATTGTAATAAATGATAAACGAGTAGGAATAAAAATTTGTTGGAGTAGGAGACGAGATAAATAATAATAAAAAATTGTGATGTCATCAATCAATACAAACGGCAAACGCAAACCAGGTGCAGGTGTAAAGTATCGATCTTGAGTGAATCACCACATAAACCAGACAACTCCTCTACCGCAAACTGTTGCCTAAATTCACTACATTAATTTAGGTCAGGTCAGTATTAATTGGAAGCAGAGTTAATGGGTGTGACTATCAATTCCATGTATTTACACAGAGATTCTCTAATTTTATAAAAGTTTCCCAAGGATTATGTAATAATGTTTAATTAGTATAATTGCACCTCAATTGAAGCTAATTCATTTTCATTTTTATTTGCAGACATCCTCAAATACCACCAAAACCACTATGACGACACCTGCAAAACTCTACGGAAAAGATCTTAGTGCCTATGAGGAAATTGATGTTGAAGACTTATTAGCAAAGTTATCTGCCGAAGAAATTAATATTCTTGCAAAAGAAGTTGACCCTGATGTGAGTATTCAATGTAGGTTATGTACGTACCAGTCTTCAAATATTTGTAATTTACAGGATAGTTTTTTACCTCCTTCACAAAGATGTAGCTATGATTGTGATAGGGAATCTACCGGACCATTAAATCGAAAGCAACTCATTGAACATATAAATAAACAAGCAATTGAAACGCCCGATGTACCAGATGTTAAACCGTACGTTGCGGGGGTAGTTCGAGGGAAAAAAGTAATTGTGTCTGAATGTCACCTTTAAAAATAGTGTATGTTTGTATTGTAGTGGATTCCTCCAGATCCGCCGAAAAAAGAACAAGATGCGGATGAACAAATTACAATTGACCTCGGTGATGAGTACGAAAGTGCTCTCCAAGACGCTTCTCAAGAAGAAATTATTGATCTCGCTGGTAAGTGAAGAAAAGTGATGATTGGAACTTTTTGCCAGACTTCAATAATTTGTAGCTATTTTGGGATTCCATTCTATGATGAATCAAGATCAGTATCATGCATCTCTTTTAAACAAAGGACAGCCTGTAGGTGTCGGGTGGGATGGCATTACGAAAGCGTCCAAACAAAAAATATACCCCCAGGATCCTCCTAACGATACAGATCCTGAGGGTACATTAAAACAAGTAAAAGAAGATAGTCCTAAGTTAATAGATTTAAATTGGAATAACATAAAGGTATTTTGGATTGAATGGTATTACGTTTGAAAACAGCTTATCATTTTAGAATATTTCTGAAGAGAAATTTGACAGTCTATTTGATGCGTTGGCGAACAACTCTCATTTAGAAATTTTATCTTTAACAAATGTTGGCCTCACCGATAGACAAGCGTTCAAATTGGCAGATGCTTTAGAAAAAAATAATACGCTAAAAGTTGTAAATGTAGAAACTAATTTTATTTCGCCATCTGGAATTGTGAGACTGGTTAAATCACTTTTGAAGACGAAATCAGTTGAAGAATTCCGAGCTACTAATCAGGTAAGAGCATTTTTGTGCCAATTGTGGCTGTTTTGGCGTTGTTTTTAATATTAATGCGCCACAGTGCAGATTTACAGAGAGGGTGCAACAGGTACAGAAAAAGTATAAAAAATTTACTGTAGGATTGCAGTTTAGCAACTTTCTGCTTTATATCATTATAAGAGGTCAAACTTTTCGTTTTGACCCTGTATCTCAGAAAGAAACGTAGCTAAAATAATTCCGTTTTCACGAAAAGAGTGGTACATATTAAGTTTTAGAGTTGGTCCATATATTTTTTACAACAGTAAATCGCCTATTTTTGGCCATTGCATGCTTATCATTTCAATAGTAAGCTATCTAACGGCAAAGGTGTCTCTTTCAATGTAATGGTGTCGCCCTGTTCTCAACATATACTTTGAACATTCTTCTTACATGTCGAACTTTCATTCTAATTATAACTATGGTACAATCTTGATACTCTGGCAGTTCGTCAGTCTGGCACTAGATGTGCACACAAAAATTCTCGATATTACAATGTTCACCCGCCATTCAGTTCCATATTTATTCATCCAGTGACCAGTACATCGCTTGCCTTTGCCTTGCGCTAATTATACATTATATGTACAGTCATTGACAAAAACCGAATAGGTAAAAACTGCAGCATATACAACCAACATTTGAATATATTGTGCAACTTTGAAATGCGAACAACACATTAAGGTTTCTCCTCCTTGAAGAAACAAACAGAGCCCGATGTGATAGGCATATTGGTTGCTTATGCTGCAGAGTTTGCGTATTAAGTAATCATTACTTTTGTCAATGCATACATACATTCATAGTAAAATTAGCCTCTTTTTCTATTACTCTCAATAATTCGGTCTCTTCGATAGTCTGCATGGTATCATACAGTGCGATCAATAATGAGTTGCTGCGCCGCTTCAATAAATTATGACGTTAGTAATCATTTGCCGCAACAGGCGTGGTGCACCAATACTAAAACATAACCTTAAACTTCAAACCAAAGTAAACTTTTGACGTTTAACCATATTTAATCGAAATCAATGATTTAAGCACGTTGTGAGTTTCCAAATTATGTGAAGCTACTCAAATAGCAAATTACTACAAAAATTGAAACGATTTTATTGCTTTTACAACTCGTTAATATTGAAGTAATTGCGTAAATTACATGCACACTATAACAACTGTTCCAAGTGCTCGCCACCATTATTAAGACAGGGATCCACTCTTTTCTTCATGTTTTCGAAGACGAAATGTAACTACAGTTGCGTAATGTTTCAAACGGCAGCTTTTATACCTGCTCTTAATTCGGCAATGGTGTGTAAACGGTTCCGAATACGTTGCAATCTCGTAAATTTGCATTAAACCAATTGCATACAATAATTTAGACGGCTTTGTAAATCTGGATGACGAGTTCTTGTACCACGGTTACTTTAAAAGATAAAAGTACAATTTTCTCCAGACAGTAGTGTGACACATTCCGTATGAGATACCCGTTTGTCGTAGCGGCTTTTTCAGAATTTGCTCAAAAGGTTTCTCGAAACTCCTGTATTCACAAACGTATCGAGTACTGCCAAACTCAATTTTCGTCTTTAGTCCCATTACGGAAACAAGACTGCAAATGCATCTTATTCTCTTCTAAAGGCATGTCGGAGTAAACCTATTACCTTTTACATGCTACAACTAAAAAAACGTTTGTTTATAATTTATAAGTAATTTACCCACCTTATAAATATTCGAAAGAAACTGGTAGTCTTGAAAAAAGCCGTTTTGAAATGGACGAAAGTAATAAGAAAAGAATCTCAAATCGGAATTATAGGTTATGTTTTTGTTTTGTATTGGTACACATATATCTGGTTGCGGCAAATGATTACTAATGTGATATTTTATAAGAGCGGCGCAGCATATGATTATTGATCTCGCTGTATATGTTGAATTATCAAGATTGTACTGGTCAGGACAGGGTGGATCAAAATCCTTGGCTCACCATTGTGATCTCCGCACCGATGAGAAATACAGCGTACATTAAATGGGAGCTAGATTGATTTATAACAGTTAATTATTATTTATCACTTATCCTTACTCACATTTATAACACAAGCCCAGATTTCTCTATTTATCACTTCAGCATCGATGGTACGACTAAGGCTGAACACAATTCAATTTGCTTATCTGCAAAGAATAAACTACTTACAATATCTCAACAAATCTTTTAAGAGTCACATTTGGTGAACTCCTTTATCGACTTGATGACGCCTCGAGAATGTTTTGGATCTAGAAGGATCGCTTCAACACTAGTTACAAAAATAAAGGGTTTTAGTGTGTCTATTTATATGCAGTTCACTACCTACAAAGTATCGATCTTTGTAGCGGGTTTTGAGGTTATGGGTAATGGGTATTTCATTCGCTAAACTAAAATATGAATAACTGGAAAGTTAATTATAATTGGATTTCTTTATTTAAACTTTTAAGAAGAATATCCTTGGAAACGCATATTACATGTGAATGAAGGTAGTCATTTTGCTGTAGAAAGCTGGAATTTTTTCGGTAAAGTTCCCTGTTGGTTGATTTTCTAATAGAAAAAATCGATCACATATTTATATTACATTGTATCTTTTTATGTTTAGTAGGTACTCTTTGCTTGTTTATGGCCTGTCTCAATTTGTTAATGATTAATTATTATTGATATACTGTGTCCAAATCGTCCACTTTTGTTTTAATATTACAAAAAGTTTTGAAAAGATTCTTGTGACCTTGCTAGATGATTTGCACGTATAATAAGCATTATACCCATGTTTTACGTTTAACATTTTTTTTGTATTTGTTTAGAGGTCACAAGTTTTGGGGAATAAAATAGAAATGGAGATCACGTCGTTGGTAGAACAAAATCCAACTCTACTACGATTGGGTTTGCATTTAGAATATAATGATGCTCGCCACCGCATTGCCGCACATCTTCAGCGCAATATTGACACAAGTAAGTTATCGATAGTTAAGAGTAAAATATGCTAATTTACTTTTGTTTCTATAGATATTATCTTCTTTAGGTTATTTATTACATTTATAAAACGGATTTTATTATATTTTACTAGGTAATTGGGTTTTTTACTTTGTCACTATGATCACTGTGCTAACTTTCATTCTCCCTGTGGTTACTTTTATTATTAAAACATAACTTTTACATAGGTGAGGAAGATATTACATACTGATTGATAGTTTATCTTTGATGCCAAAATGCATCATTTTTAGAAATGGTTGTGTTGAGTTAGCAATTTAACACTGTTCTAATTTATATGAAAATTTCACTGTGTAGTAAATCAGAGATTCTTTAAGATCATATTCTTACTGTACAGGAACATCCATTAAACCAAGTTTGTAATGTTACTACAGTTTTTCTCACCTAATTTTTTGTCTCTTCCTCACAGCATAACTCATTTTGTTAGGACCCGAGTTTTTGTTTTTTGGGAATTACTTCAGAGCTTCGTCACCTGTTTCCATTATGAATTAGCACACTTTTTTAGCAAGCTTCTTTAAAAATGTATACAGTGTACAAGGTATTTACAAAACCTGCACTAGGTGGAGAGATTAGCGGTCGATCACTATCAGTAGGTGATAGTACTCCATAATGCAGTTTTCATTTCAATTGAACAAATTTGATTTTGGATAAGTTCTGTACTTCTAAACATTAGCACAGATCTTTTACTTAATTGATTTAGTGAGACATTTTTGGAGAAGCTATTTAAGTAATACATTTCCCATTAAAAGAAGGCGTCTTTTTGTTTGGATTTTATTCTCCAAATGTATTAAATTGTTGCATATTATTTTATCTAGAACGTCGAAACTTAAGATCTGCATACATCATTACTCTCAGTTCTGAAGGATCTCGCCCTTTTAAAATCAAGCAAACCATTTAAATCCACTTTTATAGGTGTGAGTAATAGATAATAAACTACCCTCACTATCTCTGTCTGTTGCTTCGAAATCACTCTTTCTGCAAGTGATCTGCTTTACAGCAAAACGAGACGGTGTTATAAAGACCAACACACGCCAACATGACTTGATTGACAAGTACCAATTCAATTAACGATCATGAAGTTACAACACAATTTCAGTTAGTGCACCCCATATCATACAAATTAGTAGTTGAAGTAGTAAAACAAATAAATATTAAAATGAGCATTTTCAAATTTATTTGTATTAATGTTCACATTTTCTACAGTTCGAAAAGACTTAGCGCTGCGGTTGCAGTTCAGATTCTTTAACCACAGGAAAACACCTTTGATAAAATGAAGGTACAAGATGTTGTAAAACATTGCAATTAGCTGCTTACTATACATACAGTAGCCCATAACAGCTTATAGGAATTTTAATGTGTGTAGCAATTTGTTGTGTTATCAATAGTTATTTCAAAAATCAGTATTTATTTTTCAAAGGTGCTATTAATTCAACATTCATTATCAGTACACATAATTCAAATAAATCGCTTGCCGTAGCTCATTTTCCCATGCTACAGTAACAAAGCATGCTGCTTAAAATGACTGTATATGGCAATTCAATTTTCTATCGTTCCGCATGGTCGGAATGAAGGAGTACATATCATGTAAATTTTAGCGATCGCAGGTCAATTTCCACAGACAGCACTGAGGTGATACGACGTTGTTTATTGCAATGTCTACATTCACCAACAGGGACCAAACTCCTATTTAAATGCTAACTTGGCAGAATGTTAAAATAGAACCATGACATTTGACTTAAATTGTATGCACTAACACACACTAGTTAATAAGGACTGTGTCTAACACGCACTGTGTGAAATAATAACAGCCCCTTGATTTGTGTAGAAAAATATAACACTATTTGAATGAGTCACTTTTCTTAGCGTTTGTGATTAATCCAATGTGACCACGTGTACATTATACTTAACTTAATCTTCGTTTGTATATATGTTTGTGCTGTATGTTTGCAGAACGTCGTCTATCTCGACTGGGCGCAACCAGCTCGTAGCATGCCATTAAAGGATATATGTACGTACTCATTCTATTTTAATATTATTTTCTTCTCTTATGTATAGTTATAGACGAATCTGTATTTATGCTTAATATTTAAAACCTAAGTATTTGCCTCCTGCATGTGAACGCATCTTCAAAATGCATGTGAATGTTAACCGATTGTTCTAAAATGATGTAGTTTGTAGTGAAGCGTTTCCATGAATTTGGAATTGTTTTAATGTTACAAACAGGACCAATATGACATTATCTCCATGATTTTATTTCAAATACAAACCGAACATAATCATATGCTTTAGTAATTCGAATTTGATATTTGGAATAATAAACGGCAGTTTTATGAACTGTTATACTATTATTCTCTACTTAAAGGTATTGGGTATTTAAACTCCTTAGGTTTTTAGTACCCATTTGAGCTTGTGTAGTATAATCGTAGACAAAAGCACACAATAAAAGCTACCAGCAACACTATCCTATTGAATTTCTATCTGTGTGTTTTTTCTCCGATATTAGTTGTTGCGTTATTGCACATAGGGATTTACTGATTTAGCTAAGCAAACAGTAAAATAATGCAACACAATGATTCTAATTATAATTCACAACAGTACATTGTTGTCCAAATAGTATTAAACCGTCAACAGTAGATTTTCAAATTTTTTTTAATATTGTAAACATCTGCTTTATATTTGTTACATGATTTTACTACTTGACGCTAATTAATTATTATAAATTTGCTTTTAGACAGTAACTTAACCTTAATGAAGCTATAGTTAGTCAGATTACGAGTCAGAATAATTGATATTATAGCTCGAAGGTCATTCTGAGTCTGTGTACACATAAGAAAGATTCTCATTAATTGTATTACTTTGCAGATCGGAAACGTCGCATGGGACGTTTCTCCCGCAACTACATGGTGGGTTATCTTCCCCGCTACTAAGCACGCTGCGTTGTATAGTTCAGTTAAGCTTAGACAGGCTTCTTAATTTTAGATATAATGTGCTAATGTATTATTAAGGAAACACTACAGTTCTTTATGTGTCTTTACAGTTGTTTTCAGAATCCCCTCTTTCTCTTATTGTGATGGAGTGGCACACCATTAAAATTGCTAACACTGCCAAAGAAATGACACAAGTTAATAGCATTTTTTAACTTCTTACCTTTTTCATATAGAGGAGATATCTAAAGTAAGAGGTGAACTGAAATAATTGTAATCTATGTTTTAGTGATTAGTTTTTAGTATGTATATTTAATGTCTGTAAATATTGTTTTGAATTGTATTGTATTGCCTACTTATAATTATATATCTTTATGACATTCAATGTGGGTAACGCCATTGAGTGGCATTTATACGGTAAAATATTACAACATAATTGCTTAAGATCGATCGTGCCCAGTAATTATATTTCATTTCACTTCATGTAGTGGTCATTTTCACTTGAAATATTAGTCTTTGTATCCATGTAGCTATCTTGCAGAAGCCTTAATCAATAAATCAATAAAATGTTTTCAGTCTCCATTAATGGTAGATTTTGCCCAACTACTTTATGACAAGAAATGGTTTTTTTGGACCTAATCTAAGTGGTGTACAAAAATAAAGAGCAACTAATTAAAAATGAGTCAAATTCTTGACAGAAAAGCTCCCTAGCTTACTTCAGACCAAATAGCGCTCTTCGCCGCTTAACGTCTTCGCACGCTTTTTTTTACTTTTGTTTGTGTTTATTACTAATACTTATTACCAATAATTCATTTATTATCTAAAGTCAGTAAACACAAAACTCCTTATTCAATTCAATCGGCAGGTAACAATAAGAATGACATTTTACAACTTATCCCTTAACATGGCACTACACCCTCATTACGTTGTCAATGACCTTCTTTGTCGGCGGTCTGGTGCAGATGTTATAGATGGGTCAGGTTCAGTGGTGGTCCCAGGATTTGGTATAGGGAGGGGCCGAAACCCGAACTTTGTCCCAACACGGAAAAAAATAAAAGAAATCTCGCATAATGGAAATGAGGTCGACACAAAATTTATGAAAAAAATGGACAATGAGGGGGGGACCGCCACTGGTCAGGTTGTACTTTTCTTTACGGTATATTAACTTAGATTTCAGTGTTTAAATCTGTGATATTAATTAATCATTCTAAAAACTGTAGTATTTATATGTCAACATATATATACAGTGAGTTTTTTTTAAATGCGAACAAAGGAGTTTGCCTTGGAGTTTGCATGCAATGTAATTTCCCTATGTTCGATTTAAAAAAAAAACATCAATCTATGAGGTGTGCACGGTTCACATTCCCAAATCGCGCAACTTGTGTGACTATGAACAGCAACTCTAATAGTCTTTATGATGAAGAGCACTCGGTAAGATTTTTTTAAAGAAGCTATGTGAGGCCATAGCAACTTTAAGATACATTTTTCTTAAACTTACGATAACTTGACCTCACAGGCCACGCACTGACACCACTACTCATTGTGAACCAACCTTCAATTATTTGTAGGTCATGTGCACCTGGTATTCTACTAATTTGATCTATTCAATACATAAATAAGAAAATAAATACCGAAAACAATCACAATAAATGTTCGAAGTGTCCTCCTTGACATTCTAAACAATAACCTAACTAGTCCAGTCAAATTACAGTTTGGGCTGGATGTTGTCACTTCACTCAACGACACCAAGCGTATCCTATGTAAAAAAATCCGCTGATTCCGAAAATCATAGTCCCCCTGGCCGGAAACGCCCGGAAGATATTGTTATAAACAAAAATGGGAAAATGTCGTGTTTTTTCACATTTGACTTCGAATATCTCGTTAACTATTGCTCGGAGGGAAAAAATGAATAGAAATGAACTTGTTTAGAATAAAATTTTCTATAAGATACTGTTGGTTCGGAACGCTCATTTTCAACTGTTATTGTTATTTATGGAAAAATGTAAAAAAGTAATCTCGAAAATTAACACTTCGTTATTACTAAGTAAAATTCATCCGATCTTTTTGAAAATCCGAATTTATATAGTAACTTCTTTTGATAACAAAACAATATGACAAACCAGATCACCGTAGGTTTCATACTCATTAATTAAATAAACAAGTAGAAAAAGAGATGCTTTGTCTTTCAAACTGGGCGAGTACAAGAGTGTTTCCAATTTTTTTATACATAGTGGAACCGTAAAACAATCGCTTTTCCAATAATTGTCCCGATCATTTTTTGCAAATCAATGGACTGTGGAATTTTTTTAGTTAACTACCAATCGAATAGCTTCCGAGATTTAACGAGAAAAGTAGCTCTATAATCGGCCCTTAGCACTCGGATTAATAAAAATCATTCATTTGGGTGAAATAGAAGCATGAAAAAAGTTCACGCTGTAAAGAATCGATCGGTGCGACCCGATTTCCAAAACCATTTTTGGTTGTTTCAAAAACTGGCTTCAAAGTCAAAAGCTGATTTCTCGTGAACTATTAATCGGATTTGGACGTATTTTTTTTTAATGTACGGCTTTCCGAGAGCTTTACATTCGCCTATTATAGTTATATTTTTTTGTTATATTTCGGGAGCTATTCCATTTGTTAACTAAGAAAAGTCTTCAGATTTTGAAAAAAAAATTGCACAGTCCGTCGATTTGCAGGAATCATCGGGACAATTATTGGAAAAGATTGTTTTAGGGTTATAATATGTATAAAAAAATTGAGAACACTCTTGTACTCCCCCATAGAAAGACGAAGCATCTCTTTTTCTATTTGTTTATCTAATTAATCAATGAGTATGAAACCTACGGTGATCTGGTTTGTCATATTGTTTTGTTATCAAAAGTAGTTACTAAATACGGATTTTCAAAAAGATCGAATGAATTTTACTTAACAATGACAAAGTTAATTTTAGAGATTACTGTTTTTACATTTTTTCCTAAAAAACAGTAACAGTTGAAAATGAGCGTTCCGGACCAACTGTATCTTATAGAAAATTTTATTCTAAACAAGTTCATTTCTATTCATTTCCCTCCGAGCAATAGTTAACGAGATATTGGCAGTCAAATGTGAAAAAACACGACATTTTCCCGTTTTTTCTTCGTTTTTTGTTTATAACAATATGTTCCGGGCGTGTCGGGCCGGGGAGACTATGATTTTCCGATTCAGCGGATTTTTTTACATAGAATACGCTTGGTTTCGTTCAGTGAAATGACAACATCCAGTTTATACTACCTTTAGAGCTAATTTGACTGGACTAAACCGATTTCGTAATTAAATTGGAAGGCGGTATTTTTAAAAATATGACAGCTGTCAATTGTGTCTACTACTCATTTGAACTACTCAATAGATTGATGTGTTTTTTTTTAATCGAACATAGGGAAATTGCATGCAAACTCCTATTTCGCATTTAAAAAAAATTCACTGTATATATGTTAACATGGGTATTGATATTTTACCTTAGTTCTTTGGATTAAATCAAAAAGCATGCAACGAACGAACTTCTGCAATCGCTCATCGCTTATTGAAAACAAGTTGTATGACGTCACGGCGCTAAAAACTTAGATATTAAAAAAATTTTCTGGCAGTCCATCATTTATAATGCCTAATGTACCTACATTCGCAAAATTCGATGCCGTTGCGGCGCTCCAAAATTTGTTTTCAAAAATTCGGCTCGTTATTTTTCGTTTCAGTATGCCTAATATACACAAAATTTGAACAAAATCCGTCGAGTCGTTACCTCGGAAAATTGCCAAAGTACGCACATACAAACAGACGGAAAAAATTGTGTTCTTTAAAAGTTGCTTAAAATGATCTAAAACGTCGACATTTGATGAAATGTCAAAAAACGGTGATCGCAATAGCCACCTACCTAACGCTAGGAAGCTAATAAACACGTTTTGACAGCTATACTGCTATCATTGGCCAATATTACCTTTGTTGGAGGGTTTTGTCCAATTGCTTCTTGATATATGACATTGCAAATGGAAGGTGCAGTACCTACCTACTGTTTTTAATTCTTTGTTTTTGATTGTTAATGATTGCTAGGCAATCAAATAGTAATGGGTGTTTTTTTTAGTTTAGAGGGACACAAATTTAAATCATGATAAAACAAAGAAATATATTTTTAATATCAATGAAACTGACTTTATTAGATAGAAAATTGTATGATATGATTTCGGCCATATGGCCGCCAGTATAGGGGATCGAGTCGCTTGCTAGTGACGTCACAGGTGGGCGTTCAAATTTCGTTTTCTTGTCATTACCTTTTATACTGTGCCATTGTTTAAAGTATTTAAACAATGACTGTGCTTAGACAAGGAAAGAGAGGGGACCCGTAATACCGCATGCACACTTGCAGATGTGTTGCACACTGACTCCCTCGGACGCGATTGAGTTAGTAACTCAATGGACTGCGCAAACGCAAGCGCGCTAAAATTTGAAATTGCTTACAAGTGTAAGGGGTAAATAATAAACATAACCTGGAAACGTTATAATAGAAGATAATTTACCTTACCTGATTAAGTGATTACCTATTGTAAAAGTAGGTGTAGTAGGTATATGTTAATGTAATTTTATCAAGATTTACTGTCGGACACTCTTAAGTGTAAATAGCATTGCGACTCCATTTGATAGAACTCGCGGAAGAATTCTTGCGACACTTTTCTTGCCACTTTAAACAGGCAAAAGTGCAGCTCACCAAGTTCTCGCAAACTTTCCATTTTGTTTCGATATTTTGGCGAGTAAACGTATGAGTTTTATTATATTGTGGCAGAGGTGGCACGTAAATGAGTATCCTTTTTTTAAATTTTGTAATACAGTTCCTGAAAATCTACCGCTGACATACGAATAAAATTTTTAAATTGTTGGGATTGATTCTCCGATTCTCAGCTCATCAATTTATTTATGGTAGGCCCCATACTTTTCTCTTCTTGAAATCCATTCTCTCCCCCAACACATCTTTTTGTGTTTCACATTGCATAAAACTGCAGCCGCGGTAACACAAAGATGTGCTATTGGCACCATAACGTGAGATAAGTTCTCAAAAACTGGTAGGCATCAACCCAATACACCATGGTATCAACTGACAGCATTTTCAGAAGCTAAAAGTGCTACTAGTCTCAGTTTTGTGAGATCTTTGGACAGCAATGGCTCATCCAACTTGCCCGACAGTTTATCGCGACACTTATCGCTCACAGTGTAAATACATGTGGAAGTTTCTCGCGCGAGATTGTCGCAAGTAGTCTAGCTGCGCCAGAAGTTAACGCGAGATAGGAAAAATGGAACACAATAGTCTATAGCTTGGTTTATAGTGACTTATCTGATAGAATCTGTTAATTTAGTTTCTGTACACCGTGATGGTAGAAGGGTTTTGATTATAAAAAATAATAACGTTACAATTCTTGTTGTGTTTATTCCATATTATGCTGTAAAGGATCATGCCGGTTGTTGGGGCTATAATGTAACTGGAATTGACAGTGATGACAGAAGGCTTTATTAATTCGAGCGCGTTAAAGCAAATTCAAATTTAAGCGCGCTTGCGTTTGCGCAGTACCGTGGGAGTCAGTGTGCAACACATCTGCAAGTCTCTTTCATAGTCTAAGATACTTATGACATGCGCATAAGATTATGAATATTGAACCTGTGCCTGTAGTACCTTAAAAGTCGCTTTACATTAGGCAATTTTCGTGCAATGCAAGAGCAATGCAAGTTAGAGATACGTTACTGCGCATGTTCATACGCAATTCAGGTGCAAGAAAAATAAATAGAGAAAGTTCTATTTCACTTGCAAGTTTGGCGCAAGTTCTAGTAACTTTTCTAGTAATTTTGTCAATACCACAATTTATTTGGTTTCGCGTGTAATAACGCAAAATTTTTTTCTTGTTTTTTCCGCTTTTTCTTTTCTTTTTTTTTTAATAGCAAGCGCCACCACATAATAACCTGTAACTGAAGAGGAGCAAGTACTTCCACTTGTATTTAAATTATTTTCATAATCCAAACAAAAAATATGTAATTCGAATGCAAATGTGCACTACGTAAACTTAACCATACTTTGATTTAAATTCGCGCGTTCTTTCGTAAAACGTGATCTTACGAATCACGATCTCCAAATCATGATTGCGAAGTAGCCGAAAGAAAGCGCCTAATTGCATAAATGAAAACCGTAATAAACAATGCAAGGCAATTTTAGATTGCATAGCACAAGCCTTGCATTGCACTAAAATTGCCTAATGTAAAGCGGCTTTTAACTCCTTTTGTTAAGCTGTGCTATCTTATCTTCTTATCCAATATGCCGGGAACAACTTGTGCGGTAGCATGTTATAAAAGTGTCTGTGACAGCAAATCAACAAAATTCATAATCAAAATTAGGTAGTACGTTTATGTTCCTCCGAAAGAAAGACCTATTGTTATTCTGTAGAAGTGAAGCCAAACTTGTCGATGATATGAGTCATATCATCGACAAGTCATACCATATGACAATGATGAAATCTCCTTCAAAAAGACAGCAAAGTCCAACGGCAGAAGATGAACGTAGTGTATATAAATCTGACCGAAGGAGGAGGTCATATGGTCTTGTAAATATACGCACATTTTATCTACAAATCAAAAAGTAAGTCTGGATCTGGGGACATAAACCACGTTAAAAGAATTGGAAGAAAAACTGTGGCTACGCGATGGATTGTTAGATGAAGCTGTATACTGCTGTAGACAGTTTATCTTGCACAGTATAAACACCGGTACATCAGAGGCGCTTTCTTTCGGCTGCTTAGCAATCATGATTTCAAAATCGTGATTCGTAGGATCACGTTTTACGAAAGAACGCGCGAATTTAAGTCAAAATATGGTTAAGTTTACGTAGTACACATTTGCATTCGAATTACCTATTTTTTGTTTGGATTATGAAAATAATTTAAATACAAGTGGAAGTACTTGCACGATTATGCTCTTCTTCAGTTATAAATATTGACTAACCTAACATTTGAGCAAAAATATCCTTGCATTTATAAGGTTAGGAATTCGTGATCATTAAACTTTTATGTTCACTTTGTTCACGATTTTAGCAATCATGATCATAAGATCACACTTCGAAAGAACGTGATTTGACAATCCAAACGCGTTTGGATCACCGAAAGAAAGCGCCTCTGATGAAGATTGACTGTACTCGATTTCTAATTACTAAATTTTCTTTTAATCTTGTTCCCAACGATCTCAGTGCAAGAATGACGATTTTGACATGTTTTGATAAAAATCCATGTGGTCGCCAAAAATAGATCAAATTCATGTTTTGATCATTGAGATAATGCTCTTGGCCTTTTTCCCAACGTTCTTGGTGCATAAATGTTGACGTAGTAGGTAGAGCTGACCCAGCCAGTAGGTGTATGTAGTAGATCGGTGGTAGTAGTCAAGGTTTTAGATTAGAATGAGAAGAGCACGTTTTTATGTACCTAATAGTTTGTTCAGCTTCAGTTATCATTATACAAAATAAACATTATTCAATGTTGTTTCCTTGTTTACTAATAAATATTGTTTATAAATAACAATTTTGACATATTTTGATCAAAATCACGTAGTCGCCAAAAATAGATCAAATTCATGTTTTGATCATTGAGATATTGTAACGGAAATGCTCCAGACATGACGTCGCCTTTGGCGCTCTGGAATTTTCTACGCGCGCGATAGTGGGATTTTGTAGGAATATTCGAGAATGTACTGGACTTACATTGCTTGCGTGTATAAATGGTTGCGGACCGAACATCGCGGCAGTCTACTACCGAACGAGTACGTAAACATCGAGCGCGGAAATATAAATTGCGAAGTGTGAGTGATATAAATAATCGATATAAATTGTACGGATTTTATAGTGTTTTAGTTCTGTTTAATAAATATTGATATAAATCGAACCCGAATTAATACATCACGTTACAATATAATGCTCTTGGTCTTTTTCCCAACGATCTTGGTGCATAACTAATGATTTTGACATGTTTTGGTCATAGAGATAATGCTCTTGGTCTTTTTCCCAACAATCTTGGTGCATCAATAACCATTTTGACATGTTTTGATCAAAATCCACGTGGTCGCAAAAATACGGAAGTCTAAACTAAATAGTAAAATAAAATGTCTTGGACCCAAGACCAACTGGCGGAACTTATCGAGCTGTATAAATCTAGACCGTGTTTCTATGTGGTAAAAACAAGCGACTATAGGAATACGCACATGAAATTAACAGCCTATCAGGAGATAGAACAAGGTCGAAAGAGTCTTCGCCCAAAAACAACAACAGGGGAAATTAAATCTACAATAAATGGTTTGCGATAAATATTTAGTTTCTGATTTAATATAGCACATGTTATCAAATACAATGCAAATGTTTACATTTTACTGGTACCTACTAAAAAATTGACAATATTATGGAATGTTAGTTTCATCATTTATGACATTTTTGGATAGCATTATCTTTATTGAAGTAAAAGGGACTAAAAATTTGACTTAAGTGATCGTTCCAAACGGGCTTGTTTCTAAAAGAAAGTTAACGGAATGCTCCCAATAATTCCGTGACGGGCGAGTACTATACAACTCTGTTCTGTCAAGTGTCAATTATATCGTTGTGGTTAAAAGTATATATTTGTTTTTATTTGATGCTTAATGTTTTTTAATTAAATCCTTTTAATATTTTCCCGATTATTGAATTATTTTGTATTCAAAATATAAAATGAAGGACAACAATGACAATAACACCTTGGGCGAGTTATACAAACTTGCAAATGAAATAAGGGATGGTTTATTTTTGGGAAGCATTCCTTACAACACAAATAATATTGATTCAAATTCCAATGGAACTATAAGTAAGAAGAACAAATTAAATCAATCTCGAACCCAGAAATTGTTTAAATTTGAGGTACAATAAACTAGGTACGCTACTACAAAACTGTGTACTTAAATATTTTGTTTACATTAGAATCCAACATGTTTCACATGTAATGGATATTTTGGTCCTTGTTTCGAAGATCCCACTTGTGCAACCTGTCATGCGTTTTTATACCCAGCGCTCCCTCCCGAAGGTATGCAGATTACAGCTTTTGCAGAAGTAAGTGTAAATTTGCTATATCTTTTGCTCTGCAATATTGTTACATTTGTAGTCCTTTCAACATATTTGTAGGTATACACTGTGTCCAAGATAAGGATGTCTAGCATGGGGATCTCAGAAACCGTAGAAGATATGACATGGTTAAACTAAGGAAAAGTTGCGCAATTACACGATTATTTCCGAAGATATGCCAGAAAAACCAAAATTTGCTGATTTTTTTATCTTTTTGTGTTGTTATTTGGGCAGATACAGAAAAATAAAAGACGCTTTCTCATTGCCTTTTTTTGAACTCTACAAGACAGGCTTGAGAGATTCTTAATACATTTCGTTTTGGAGAAATCATCAACTTTATTTTTTTATAGGCTCATAAAAAAGTACACACTGTATTTAATGACTATTATTTTGCACACATAAAAAAACAAAATTTGAAAACTGTTGATTTTCACAGAATGTTGCACCCACGTACAATGCCCTAAGCGTGCCAGAATACCTATCAAACAAATTATCCATTTCGCAGGAAATTGGCCTAATAGGTTTCTGCTATTCTCACATGATGATGTGCGCGGGTGCACAATCCTCAACAGAGTTGCCAACATTTGTGTTTTTCATGCTATACATCATAAAGTTGATGACTCCTCTAAAACAAAACATTGTAGGTATTGAAAATCACTCAATGGTGTCTTGTAGAGCTCAAAAAGTGGCAATGAGAATGTGATTTTTTTTGTTTTTAGGGCATTTTCCCACTCATGTTGGAAGGCGCTGTTATGGCCACTTTCTCCATCCCTCTGTTCGAGGCCTTAACTACCCTTACAGTTTTCAAGATTTCGTTCTTTTTGCATTCGTTAGCGTATAGCTCTGGCACCTCAACCAAGAAAAATCTTGACGATTTATGTGTCTGCGCGATGTCAATTTTCTTATTTCTATTATATTTTTTTGAAATTTTAACCACAGATGCTTCTAGTAAAGACAAGCATATCGTATATTGTAAAAATCAGACGAGTGCATGCGCATTCTGCGCAATGTCAACTTTCTTCTTATAGATATATTTTGAAATTTTAACCATAGATTTTTGTAGTGAAGGCAAACAGCCGTTACATGCCCTTTCGGAAAGTATTTATCAATTCATGGAAAATGCACTAAACTTACACGTCTTATTTGCTGTATCTGCCCAAATAACATTGGAAAAAAATTAAAACAAAATCTGTTCGGTTTGTCTCGTATATCGTTGGAAGTAATTGGAATTTTCTGGTTTTCTTTATGGCGTGATAATAACTATTTAATTGCGAAACTTTCTCCTAATTTAACCATTGTCGTATCTCCTATGATGGTATCACCATGATAGACATCCTTATCTTGGACACATGTACAATATATTTTTTATTATATAATGTATTTTTATATTTTATTTTGGTCTTTAAATGTATTCTTCTATTATGGTATTATTAGGTTTCTTCATACCATAATAAATATTAGATTTAAAAAATAAGATTGAGGAAGTCTACTGCTAAGTGCTACTTTCCTATTTACTTTTACTGCACATATAAGGTCACTATTAAATTATAGGCAAGTGATGACAGTGATTCGGGAAACGATGAGCCCACAGATGTAACTTACCGTCACAATGTATTAGAGTTTCACTCCCTCAATCAAGCAGATAGGCCAACCTCCACACCACCTGTTGATTTTGAAAGGCTTGACCGAGAGTTGAATCGAATATCTGTGATTCAACATACCATAGACATTAATATTGAGCAATTACCACCTGAAGGCGAGTATTGTATACCTATTCTGATTATGTAAAATAATTATTTTATTTTAGTATTAATAATAGTTTTTCAATACTTGGATGAGATCTCGTTATGGACTGTAGGACAAGTATGCTCTCGTTGGCGAGAAATACTTCACATGCACATCAGACCTGAAATATGGCGAGTACTTACTTTGCAACGATGGCCACTTTTATGCATTCCAACTATAGATATAGACTGGTATAATGTAAGCAATATTCTCTTTTTTATTTTTGGATTGATTTCAGTATATTTTAAATTCGTAATCCAAATAGTTATATTGTAGCCATTTTATGGTTTTATTAGTAAGAATAACTGGTGGAAAGTAAACAGTACATCCTATACCATATAATTGTGATCAACTATTTCAACATTGTTGCAGATGTATACTAAATTAATGCTGAATTGCTGCTGTATTAAATGTGTCAAACAGATGGCAGCACAGGAGCATTGCAGCAACATTGAAGAAAGTTCATGGAGGAAACATAGATTAAGGACAGAGCTAAGATCCATGAGAATGGATCCTCTTGATGGTATTCAAGCAAAGCCATTAGATATCGCTTGCTATCACTGGCAGGCTGCTATACAAGGCCCAATTGGTAGTCCTTATGAAGGTGGAAATTTTTTCTTATATATTCAAATTCCATACTCGTACCCTATGAAACCACCAATTGTACGTTTCTTGACTAAAATATTTCACCCGAATATCTCAAGACATGGTGATATTGGAATCGATGCCATTCATCACAACTGGTCTCTGGCACTTACTATTAATAAAGTGTTGTTGTCCATTCAGTCTTTATTAACTGATCCATACTGCGTGGTAAGTGCGGTAAGATATCGCCTACAGTATTATTGGTACTTATTGTTTATTTTGTTGTGATGTACTTCTGTGCTGGATGGAAAGATAAAAATGAGCGGCGATTATAATTCAGGTAAAAAGGATGAAAGAAAATGTTAGAAATAATCATAAACTTCATACCTCGTATTCGCCATGATGAAAGTATATTATACTGAGCCCTAATTCCGTAAACAGATCATATTTGTTTACAGACCATCAATGTAAGCGTAGAAATTAGCTATTGGTGACTAAAAATAAATAGCTTCTCCATTTAGTACTATGCGATCAAAAATGAGTTGCTGTCGAGTCACCTTTGGAACTTTTGTTTACATGGGAAATCGTACTTAACTTGAACTTCCAAAGGCGACTCAAAAGCAACCCATTTTTGATCGCTCGTTATGCTGTATGAATGTCATTAAAAAAAGAAAGTAAATATTATCTGATGCTCATTTATTTTAAAAAATAGAAACAATTTAAAAATCCATTTGATGATTAACTGAGCGCAAAATAACTTATCTCCGCGCTCTACCGAAAACTAGATTTTGCTCCCTCATTTGCGGGAGCAAAGTATGCGTTTACTTTTTTGCGGGAGGTAAAGTAATCAAAAACTCCCTGCGGGAGGTAAAGTAATTTCCATTGAAACGTAAATGTGTTGGTCTGTAACCTACATTCTGGCGTTTCAGAAATGTAGTTAATTTTGGGTACCTACCTACTTATGATGTCCATATTTTTCTTAGCGGCTAAGGTGGCTTTTAACATTGAATACTTAGACCAAAGCGAATCTAATTAAATACCTACCTTGCAAAGTTCGTAAAAATATATTGACTGCAATTTCATTCGTCTTACTCACAGTTTTTTTATGCATCATTGCGAGCATCATTGATTGCGTACCGAATAAACCTGCAAGCACTTTTGTTGCGATTTTTGGTGCAACCTTGTGGCATTATTGGTTCTTTTTTTTGACATCACAAGAAGAGTATTTTGCAAATCTAAATCGCTTTTGTCACTATTAAAAGATTTCCAAACTACTCTGGTTACTTTAAATGCACATTTGGAAACTTGGAATTTACTTGTCAATTGTTAGTATTGACAGCTGGTTGCTATATGACAAAAGGCGATCGCGGGTAAATTGATGTCCTTTAACTTTAGTACCATGCGATCAAAATTGAGTTGCTGTCGAGTAACCCTTGGAATTTTTGTTTTTATTTTAATCGTACTTAACCTGAACTTCCAAAGGCGACTCGACAGCAAATCATTTTTGATCGCCCGTTACCTATCTCCAAGTTGCGTCGACTCTGTTTTTTTAGCGAAAACGATTTTATGGGCGAATTGATGAACGCGAAGATAAAAGTAGATATATACCACGAGCGCAAAATATAATTTCCTCCCTTGGCCAAATTTGCCCGCGGGAGTAAATTATATACTTTGTTCTCTTGATATATAAATAGCTATTATTTAAACAACTTGCCTACCATATTTTCACTTTGGAATACTGTAGGTATGCTTTAGTTAAAGAAGTCTGTAAGATAAGCTGTTTTCCATTAATGCCCTCGTTTTAGAGATTTTTTAAAATAAGATACACGTTGATAGATTGATAAAGGAATAAGCACAGAGTTTCAAGACAAGTGGTCAGCACGTCGCCAAAAGGCCCCTAACTGAAGTACTAATACTGAAAATTTCTGTTAACATTAAGTATACTGTTGTTAAAATTCATTTTGCATTTTTTGTAGGTATGTATGGAACCCTACATTGGCAAATTATATTTGGATAATAGGGAAGAATATAATCGACAAGCCAGGTGGTGGACATGGCGTTTTGCTATGATTGATCTTGTAGGTAAATAAGTTCTATCCTTGTTAATTTTTAAACTGTTTTATTTAAATTGTGATAAAATATACATTTAAATACTTTGTACAGTTTTTTTTTATTGCAGATTTGTGTTGTGTCTGTAACGGCTCATAGTACCTACAATTGCCCGAAGTTTTGTGTTATTTTTTTGTCACGCAATAAAAACACGTTAAAACAATGCAAAATGCCCTGGGTTAGTACAAAATTAATAAAAACGGGATAAATTTGTATTTGACTATATTTACAACTGATAAAATTTAATAATACGTATTGCTGTGTGCACTGATCCGTAGGCCAGAAAAACCATACACAAAACACCACAACAAAAACCTACCTAGTTCTTTACCTTTATTTATTATCACGGCACAAAACTTCATCCAATACAGAGGAAAGATTCAAATCTGCTCTCAGTTAACCTGTTAACTTCTAACAGATAGTGGGTTAGACCTTTTAAACTCAAAACTGAACTGCAAAATTTTGTATAATTAAAATGGACGTTGGGCAAACATCCAATAAACACAGGTAAATTAGAAATGAAGTCGTTAGAATTAATCACACGGAAAATTAATGTGAAAATTACAAATTGCGATTTAATCTAAACACACAAAAGGAAAATCGAGAGGAAAATGGTACAACAACAAATATTATAAATAGACTAAAATTATGACTTAACTACTTACATAACTTGTCCCGGAATTGTAATATATAATAACACAAATACACAAAAATAACAATTTTTAATTAACACAAACGACACTTTACGCTAATGAAATCGAGTAACCGCAGCATCTTCTCTTCGGGTAGACAAAGACGTTCCCAAAAAAAAAACTCAACTTCAAAGTTTGAAGTTCAAACTGAGTCACGTTGAAAACACACTTATGAGGGCACCGACAAACACCTCTCCTTGTAGCACCTTTGATGGCCAAAACTTCAAAACGTAGAACAATAATTAGCCGCGAATTCGGCTTCCGGCTTCACAAACGAAACTTCTTTAATCTTCATTCTCACATTGGACAAAAATAAATCTTTCGATATTGGCCGTGGCTTCAAAACAAATAATCAACGATGGAATTCGCAAGAAGCGAAAAAAAATTCTTCAACGAAACGTAACTCGGTGCTGAACGTAGCAAAAAGCGGATTTAAATTTTCAAAGAAACGTAGTTCTGCGTTGACGTTGACCGAGGAAAAAAAGCGACATCTTTATTGTTAACGTCCTATTTAAGGCGAAACCCTTCTTCCGATAATAAAAATTACAATCAATCATACACAGTTTACAACAAAGACTATCCCCTCAACGCACGTTATGAGGCAAAAAAAGAGATCGGTAATTCTTCCCAATCAATTTATTATCAGACATTAAGAGATAAATCCAAACTGTCAATTAAATTAAGCATTTACATTTGATAAGTAACGGAGAAAGACCCAACAATACCCGGAACTTCCTACGTTTAAATAAAATAAAATGTAAACAAAAACAACCTTGACTGCTTTCTCGTATGACATAATAATTTCCACGCCGTTACATTGACCAACGACAATTAATAGAATTTAATTACGAATGTTAATTACACAAAAATGGAGACCGCCCTCGTCCATCTTAATTAGAATGTCCGAAAATTTCATCCTGCCGGACGAAATAAACACGTAGCAGTATAGACATAGTAATCTATGGTCAAGCTTGCAATGGTATAATCAGAATTTGAAATTCCTTTATATTGTCCAGTAATCTGCCGTGTTCAAAATAAGTATACAGGGGCGTGTGAACAAAATTATCGGATCTAACCTCATTTGTTTAATGGAACACTCTGTATGTTTTAAGTCGATAGTTAGCATATAACATTCTTTTTTACAAAATGTAACACACCAATGCTGATATTCAAAAAGATTCAAGTGATTCAAAAAAATATTAAAAAAATTAAAAAATTTTCTAATCATTCAAAAACATACAATAAATTTCAATCTTTTGAGTGTGTTTAAATTTTTAAAATCTTTTTAAATTGATATTGATTTTTTAAAAATTGTTTATTGTAATGCATATTTTTGAAAAATAATTGGATATGCAATCTTTTTAGTTAAAATTGTAGTGTTCTATTTAAAAAAAATGAGATAAGGTCCGATAACTTTTTTACCTGGTCCCCTATCCTTAATTTGAGAACGACAAATTAACTATTCACTATTCATTATAAATAAACTTTGCAATAAATATTTTTTGTATTTCTTTTTATTAAAGAAATATAGGATCATTAGGAAATTGACAATTTTTTTAATTTTTTAAGTGAATGATTTTGATATTAGCATTTTAAGTTGGGCCCAAAAAGAGCACATGGCGCGCCTATATAGGCTGATTCAAATTCGAGGGCTACCATGGGGATCTCGGAAACTGTAAGAGATATGTATAGGTAGTTTAGATTTGTCAAAGTTGCGTATTTTGATGCTTAACAAAATGCAATTTTGAAACAGAAAAAATTCAGACTGCTTTCGGAGATATCCGGAAAAAAAACGAAATTTTGCAATCGTTTTTTACCGAAGTTATTTAAAGAGATATTTTAAATTAGATGACACATTAATATGGCCACTTTTGTCTCTCAAGATGCTAGTGTTACATTTTAAGTCTGACGTTTCATCTCCGGTTACCCATCATCAACTTTGTTTTTTCTTATGGAAGTCATTTTTACTTTTTGTGTCGTTTGATCGAGAATTTTTTTCTGATTTCAAAAATGTAATCACTAATTTTAGTATAAGAAATGGCGTTATTAATTCGTAAAAACGCAAGAAACTACGAACATACACTACCCAAGGGCCAAGACAAAGTTTGTCAGGCAAAAAAAGAAGATATTTTAGCAATATTTAAAAAATAGTCACTCCTACTTTCACTCTCACGTGAGATATAATATTATCAATTGGGGCTATTGTCATAGCGTGGAAAGAATCCTGAGGCTTCAGAAGCGTGCAATACGCATAATATGCAACTTAGGCTACAAACAATCTTATAGAGAATACTTTAAGGAGCTGAAAATCATGACTGTGGTGAATACTTACATATTGGAAATTTGCTCATACGTTTACGCACACAAATCAATTTTCAAAACCGCTGATCATACCTATAATACTAGAAATAAAAAATTGATACAAGCAACATCCCACAAGACATCACTTTTTGAGAAGAACTTTTGTTACAACGCAACTAAAATTTTTAACTCGCTATCATGTTTTATTAATACATCCTCGAAAAAAATAAACTATAAACAAAATTTAAAAGAATTATTGGTGTCAAATTGTTTTTATAATATGGAGGAGTTCTATCAATTTGTAAAACCTTAGTTTAAAACGTATTTGGCTTATTGTAAATCTTTTGACGTTTATTTTAGTGCTTTCGCAAGAACCGCACTAAAATACTAATAAATATTATTATTATTATTATTGTTATTATTATTATTATTGTAGACATAATTATACAGAAACAAAAGAAAATAAGTACCTATCTAGAACCTACGTGTAGAACTGAGTAGAAATATTCAAGAAGGTTTTAGCACAGATACACGTAAAGCGTATATCTGTGCGGTATTATAGTATACTCGTAGTCATTGAATGCCGAAATTTTTCAATGCCCAAAGGTATAGGTAAGTAAAGTGATTGCTACGATACAGTGTAGTACCTAGTACATAGGTATACCTACCAATATCTAATTAGTAGAGCTTTTGTATTTGAAAGGTTTCCCTTATATTTTTCGCCTACACTTAGAGCTTTGAATATAAAATTAGGCTTAGAGGGAACATTGGAATACGAAATTTTTCGTGTAAACAGTTTTCGTATGCCAATAAATCAAAATTAATAAACTCAACTTTAGTCGTGCTGTATGTGTAATTATATAGAGCGTTTCAATTACAGAAGATGTAACGATAAATGTAAATGTATCTATACTAGGGGAAAATTGACCATTAAAAACGTGTGAAGAACAACACGAGGAAACTAAAGCATCGATCTCTTGCCCTTCACATTTTGATGATGTCCATTACTGCGTCATTCAATAATTTTAGTCCTTTAGGACAAGGGTTTGGTGCGCGCACTCAGCTTTTACGTCATGGTGGGGATTCTTCCGGGTCGCGCACCTTACAGTGTGCGCCACTGGCTTCAGTCAATCGGCGGCAGCATTTAAAATTTAATAGTACATTTAGTGTAATTGTTTGACCGTAGCGATTAACGGAATAATATAAATAAAAATGTGTGCAATTTTGTGGGTTTTATATGGAGCAATTTTTACTTTGATAAACACTCAAAGAAGCAGCGCTTCAATTTTAGAAAAACTTGACGCAGATCCTGATTTATCGCAGGTAAATTTATTAATAATTATTGAATGAGTAGTTCAGGGATACCAAATTGTTGATTTCGGTACTTATGCCATTTAATTCTACCCCAATCCATCGCAATGTTTAAAGATTATTACCTACCTTTATATTCTTTCCATATAGCTATACCTACACGCATAAAGGTCGATTCATATACCTTTTCACAAAATAGTTTATCTGTTTTAGTTAAATGGCGTAATTATCATAAAAAATATTTGCATTATACCTAATGGTATCCTTACTCCTAATACAAGATTTTGGAAAGTAAAGCGAAGGTGCGAATAAATAGATGGGTACTTAGTACCTACCTACCTACAGTGCTTGAATTCGTACGCTCACTGTACCAAATACCTACAAGCAAAACAAATTATGTCCTAATTATTTTATTGACCTCATTTATTTAGTAACGAAGGGGTACCTATAAATAGGGTGTGAAAGGACTGAGCATTTCACTTCATATAATTAGAAGGAAATTGGTGAAGAATGATGATAGATATGACAACACCGACCCATTTTGATACGGCCGTTTATGTGTCAATATCATTAATTGCGAATTGATTCAGTTTGCGATGGTACCTCAATGATAACAGTTTCACTCTCAATACGTAACTTGTTAAAGGAACTTGCCTAGATAACACTGCGTATTCGAAAATTTGTCTATTGAGTGCAAATTGTTATTTGATAGATTCATATGCAAATACGAATATCTTGACGAGAT